ATATGATAAGATTGATAACTAAGTTGAGCACGAAGCTCCTATCTAATTGCAGACGTGCCAGTCTTATATAGAACCTTCGTTCTCCTAAATCAGTGCTCGTCGCTCTGATCCTTTCTGATTCCTCAGAGGTCGTCAGGCCGACCACCTCTGATGCCAGTCGATCATGTGACAGTAACCAAAGGAAATCCCTGGACCGCTTAGCTAGCCTAAGCGTCCCTATTTTCCTATAAGAAACCTGGACGTGCATGTCGAGGGTTGCGCCTCTTTATTATGACAAGTATCACGTGAGCACGTGATTCGTGACAAATAGGTTAAAAAAAGGTTATTCTTCGAGAATAATTATTATATACTTTAGTTATACTTTTACTATATTAACTTAAGTACTACTTAAATAGTTAATTAGTTTATTTATATAGTAATATTAACTAAGAGGCCCTTTAGATTTACAAAAGTATACTTCTATCCTAAGAATTTATATAGTAGTATAAAGGAGAATTTTAGACGTTTTCTTAGGTTTAGAGGCTTATAGAGAATAATAACTCCTTACGTGCTCTATACTAATAGTAATAGCGGCTTTTTAGTTTACTTAATACCTATATATACTATACCTTACTTTGTAGAACAACGTATTCTTCCCTCTTAGTTCTATAATAGTTTTTAATAACTAAAGGAGGTAGTTCAAGTGAAATTTAGAACTTAATTGCAATAACCCTGTTTATTAGGTTAACTTATCATTAATAAAAGGGTGATGCAATAGACCTATATTACTATAGTAATAAGTAAGTCTCGAGGTTATATACCGAAGCAAGTGTAGCTAGCTAAGTCCCTAAGGAGCAGCTACGCTCAGAAGTAGCTAATAATCATTTACTATTATAAACCGACACTATTCTTTAGAGATAGCTTTTGTTAGAGATTACTCAAGGACACTCATATGTTTTCCATCCTCAACTAAATATTTTTTAGACCTAGGAAATAATGCTGAAGTCGTATATATGAAATTAGAGGAGCAAAAGCTCGTATTACAAATGCCCTGGATTATTTAATTTATTGCTTTAATTGGAGTTAAAAGGCCTTCTATCTAACTACATTGTTTGCAACCTGCTGTTGCAGGCTAATCAGAATTCTCCTTTCTATCTACAAACAAAACTCAATTAGCCACTTAAAACACCCACTCGCAGTGCCCACGTCCATACAACATCCCAACAACAGAATCCACCACCTCTGTCAACGCTTTCACCCATTTAGCACTGGTCCTAAGTCCAAAAACGGGACAGGATAACCCCACGACTGGCTGCGTGAAATACTACCTTCCAATCCCCCTTTAATTATTGAAGCATCACGACAAACTGCTGTCTTGGTATTATTGTACCTTATCGTCATGCGTACGAACGAATCTAACTCAACCTGTCCCCTTTGGAGCTGCTTGCATAGTTTGATTACGAATGGCTGCGCTACCTGGGCACTATATTACGAAGAAAGCGAGATTGTTATCTCCACAGTAAGGTTATTTTCTGTAAGAAGAAGACACAAGAAGTAGTATGAAAGTAGAATCTGGAAAAGGCGATGAAGTGATAGCCGAGGCGACAAAGTAAGAGTCCGAATATTGTTAAACAATCCCGCTGCAACTTCCTCTATAGCACCTCAAGGATGAGCTTGCCGAACTAAAATTGCAAGTATATTTCTAGGAAGAATTTCCTTCTCAACTCTTTACCCCTCTGAGATATGTGTCCCCCGCAAGTCTCACAGACCATCTCTCCCTCAATTCGTTACTCGAGCTTCCTTTTCATTCCACTCGACATCAAGACAAAAAAGCCCCATCACGCGACTTAAAGGAACACATGGACTAAATATGGTAGGTGGTATTAAAAATGTCTACTTCCAACCCCCAAAAGAATACTTCGACCTCGAAGTCATAGTGGCAGTACCAGATCCATTTATCCACAACCAGTTTAGAACTGGTAGTTAGGAAATCTTGTACCATACAACCTAAAAAGGAGATTCTCAGATCCAGACCCCAGATTCCCTTTCGGGTGCATATGTGCGGGGATCGTAATCGAAGATGAAGATCCCGATGTCAGTAAGACGGATAACTTAATCTGATCTGATCCCATAGGTTGAGTACCTGGTGGCTTCTCTATGCTGGTCAATATTTTCTGTTCATCCGATCTTATCTTTTGCAGCTCATCTCCAAGGAATGCCATCCGCTCTCCGACTAGAAGAGAAACGGGGAAGAATCCGATTAACAATGTCAGAATACCAAGGTATCTGCCAGCAAAATAAGTTTAGTTCAACTACAGCTGCACATCGTGTAACGAAACCAGTTCGCTTCCCCTTTTATCCCCGAAAGTATCCTGGCCTATATCTCGTTCATTGTCTATAACCCTCTCAAGCTCCCAAGCCCCAACTACCCTCCAAGAAAAGAGAAGTATTCTAGGAAAGGGAAGCCGTTTCAGAACCCTCTGAGATGGTGTGTGGAAGTGTAAGAACCTAAAAATGCCACCCAGCAGGGGAAATGACGAATTCGCAAATCGAACAAGGCAAGGTACTGCAAACTTGAAGGAGGAATTCCTCCGTCCGTCTCACAATCCTATCGTATCTCAAAGTATTCAACGTAACACCGAGCCCCATGGCCTCCACGATACCCTACCTTCCCCACGTTCTCCCCCACCCAAGCCTCCTGGTACCTCGGGACCCAATCGAGACACTACACCCAACCGGCAAAGCTACCAAAGTCCACAATACAGAGGACCAAGTGGCGTTGCGGGGACCCCGCATTCCAAAAAAACATACAGTACCAGAAAACCACCAGAGCCATACCAATAAACAGCATGCCAAGGCGTGGTGTAGCATGACGTAGTACAACATATGGCACGGGAACTTCCATCTCCCCCTTTGTGATATGATGATATGACTAGTCATCTCGCGAGAATACATGTGATGAACTAATTGCCAGGAGGGGATACAGACCCTTAGGGGTCTCGTATACCGAATGGAGGAGATTATGAGACTGATGTGAATTGTATTTCTAGGACATTGAGAAGGTATTTTTGAACAGTCTAGCGTGGGCTTTTTCTTGAAATTTCCAGCCTGCTCTACCTTCTTCAAATTTTCGCCTCTTTGGAGGACTCCATCCAAGTTATTCTCCCTGAAGCCCAGCCCCGGAATCAAATCAAATCAAATCAAACTAATTACAGAGTCACCCCATCACTCATCGTAAGCCAAGAAGGGAAGTTCAATACCAGCCCAAAAGAAATCCCAAGTGCCGATCTGACAAGAACTCATGTATCGTAACACCTTCAATAAATATACCATCTACGCCTAACCACCCACTATTGTGCAACCCCCGCTGTCTCATAGTAATGCAGAAATCCAGGTCGTGGAACCAATCAAGATAGAAAATTTGAAATACTCTAAAATGCTGCCCCCGAAAAAGCTATGTAGATTGTGATAGATCAAAACAACACACAGGGAAAAATACCCATCTCTATGATCGTCTTCATGTACAATCATAAACTCGTCTCGTAGTCTCATATATTGCTCATTACTCACCCATCTTCTAAACAGAATCGTAAAGTGTGCTGTTAGCCATTTTCCCGGCAAACCCCTCATTGACCCGCAATCGAAAGGGAGGGGACACTGCCAATACACTGCTGCCTGGCACAACTTCAATATATACAGTGGCGCAAACCTCTATAAATTATATGCAGCAACACCGTCGCATCACGCTTCATTCTACCTCGTAAACTAATTTTGATCGCCATCTCAAAACGGGCGATGAGTTTAGATCAGTTCCCAAGATAGGTTCTCCGACGCATATCTGCTTCGCGGATGATTTCCGCTGAAAGACTGAGACTCGGCGCTAGATGTACATATCTTTCCACTTCGGTGACGACATCGTTAATGATGGCATCCACTGCATCCAGATGAGGGACCAAAGTTGAGAGGATCGCGGAGAGAGAGGGTGACATTGTGGCGCCCATGACGAGGAGTGTTTGGGAGACTATGGAAAGCGCTCCTTGCCACAAATAAGGAACGTGACCGGCATGACTTCTGGCTATTAGTTGCCATTTACTTGGGAGGAGCATGAGACCTACTGTGCTGTGATGTTTTCAAGTTGTCGAATTGAGGCTTCCAAGCACTTGCGACAGTTGTCACGTACCACGGGATCCATAGCTGCTTGCTCATTGTCCAGAACTGCAAGGATATATGGTCTGTAGATAATAGTTCGGCATGCGAAATAGCGTAAACGCAAGACGGTCTGGACGGGATCCTGTAGTAACGATCGGTGGTAGGGGAATTGAAGCGACAATGGCAAGCTTTCGTACCATTGTGAAAGCTGAAAGTCGAGTTCTGCAACAACTGGCTCAAGGCTTTGCGTCGATGACATCGAGTCTTTGGAATAGATGAGCTGGCTGACGCGATTAAGAAGTCGTCGGAGAGCTATTTCGGCCAGGAAATACCACAACTCATCACGTCCAACGCCTTCTTCTTCCCCTTGCTGAAAACCTGCTGGAAGTCCAACATGTTCCTCGTAGTGTACGATCCCTGAATGTGGCAGATCCAATTCGGCGAGGAGATCACTCTCAAACAACAGCGCATTCCAATACACTCGCTCCATTATCTCTCTCTGGTGTTCTGGTATCCGACCAGGCGCACTCAAAAGGAGCTGCAGTTTTGTACTCGCACTATTCAACAGAGTCCATGCCTCCAACGGTCGAACCAAATAGAACAAATATGCTGCCGCTAGAATAGTGCATTGAGCGGACTGCACTGTATTTCGAGTCATCAAGCTTGGGAGAAGAGCCCACGCTGTTGCAAAATAAGGTAATCCTGGAGCATCTTGAGGATTTGGTATTCTGGAAATGCTCCCACTGCAGCTCGCCTGCCCTAGAGCGAGGACAAGGAGTACTATGCAACTTTCTGGTCCATCGCGGAACCCGTTCGAGAGCGCGACTCGATAGTAACTCGTCCAGTTGAATGGATTGACGCAGGCATACCACACATTGACTTTCGAAAAGAAGGCCTCTATATATGCAGAGGTGTTGGAGAGGTCAAGACAAGGAGTCTTGGATAGTATCAGTGGATCTCGGGACATTTCCAATTGCACCAAAGCCTGTGGATCGTAGGGTCGTGCGAGAAGATCTCGAATCAAAGGCCACTGGAGTAGGTGCAATGCAGCGTTTGTGTGTATTTTAGGCATGATGGAGAGGTTTGTTGGCGTTGTCCAAGCACCCACTCCAGTTGTGGGAAGCATGGAGATAAAGTTGGTACCATTTTGCATCATATCATCGTTGCTGACAGTAGTATTGCCATTGATGGAAGGCGAACCCGTTGAGAGTGCGAGACTTGAGGTCTGGCCAACCAGGCTAGACTGAAGCATGCCTTCGATCCTAGCAAGACGTTCCAGAATGAGCTTATCGCCAGCGTCAAGTTTGATGCCTGGCTCCCGATAGATACATTCTGCTCCCAGCTCGGTGCAAAGCTTGCACTTGGGCTTCGTCCCGTCGCATCGGGACTTCCTTGAGCGACAGATCTCACACTGAATATCTAGTCAACAACCGACGAATGGATCTAGAAATAGATCTGCTTACGGCTATTGTGGCTCTCCTTCTCGGATAGTCAATGCCTGCGTCGGTGTTTCTTCTTTTCATTGGGGTGATGCCATCATCATCAAACTGTCTGTTTCCATTACTGTTCGTGATGGGCTCCCGATCTCCGGATGACTGTGAAAGATTACGGGCTTTCTGGGCCGAACCTAGAATCCCCTCACGTGAAAAGCCTGCCATTCGGCGAGAGTTTGGCGACTTTAAGGGATTAAGGCTAGGAGACGGAAGACCTCCGTTGGTATTGACTTGCAGGCGAGGCGAAGTCATATCTATCGAGAACTTTCCATCGGTTGAGATGGAGAACGCCCTCCCCCCTGAGGCAGAGGTTGGCGAGTTCTCGGCCGAAGAATTTGACATGATGCGTGGTTGGATGTCGAAAGGGAGCACCAAAGCTCTTTGAATCTGGTTCATCGATATCCAGAGGGGGGTAGATTTGATGGGATGCAAGTCATTCAGTTAACCTTTATGGGCTGAGGGCAGGAAGTATGCAAAAGAATCTTAAGCTCAGTCGAAAGCAGATGGAGGTAATTTTCTCTTGTGCGTGTGATAAGAGACTTGATGGAGGTCTATTTTAACAAAAAAAAAGATGAAGGATCGCCTGCTGGGGCTGGCTCAATAGGTTGGCCAGGCATGTGAGATGTGGATATGCGCCATCCGCCCCGCCAAGGTGGCATCATAGCTATGATAATCGACCAGCTTACATGGGGGTCTCAAGGGCGTTAGCGAGCGGATGTCGAGGCTATTGCCAATCTTGACTCCTTCCAAGAACAAGAAGCAAGGCCGGTGTGTGGATTGGCATATGAGACGAGTGATTTGGGGCAGGACAGGAAGAAGACGAAAGTAGCAAAAACAGAAAGGGGTGCAGGGACCATAATCCGGGGCACCTTCTGCAGGGTCGATGAACGAAAATCTGGGGTAGGGGATGGGGATGGACATGTGGTGCGGCCGAAGGGAAGAAGTTAGAGGACCTCATCTATGGATCACAACAGAACCATGCCCTTGGCCAGCCGCGTTCAAGCGCTTGCTACACAGGGTCATAGAGGCTAGAGGCTAGAGACCACGACGGTTACAGTAGTTACCTAGTACGGAATAATTATAGGTGTAGGTGTAGGTAGTGTATGGTGTTGATGTGTCATGGCAGCACTTGATTCAATATACGGACGATCAAGTCCGGCCGCAGTGTCTCTTGGAGCCATATTCTTGCTTCAATCATATACGCTTCTCGTCTGATTCTCTTCCCTGCCTCCAATAGCAGCCATGGCTTACATTTCTTGCACTGCTGTGAATTTGACAATGGCTACGGCGGTTGTTGGTTGGTGGTTTTGTTTGCTTTTCATAGCAATAATTCCAGTTACGCGCGTCTGACACCGCTCATCCGATGAGGGCACACCTATGAATACCTCCGCACGGAGTATATATATACCGTATATTGGTACAAGTAATTGCTGGTACTTTCATAGTTGCTAGTACCTTCAATGTCGGGATAAATCATATGGAAGAGTACGTACAGATACAGACATACCTAGGTACTCATACTATATCAGATTTCCTTCTGACTCTTATATGCAAGCATCCGGGATTGAAGTTCTCTAAGCTCGTCTGCTTCTGGTTGGCGGAAGAGCGGGCTCCGTCATTGCCAGAAGGTTGCTGGTTGCCGGTTGCCTTTTGGCCTCGGTCTCGGTGAATCGGTGAGAAATGTAATATTGGAAGTAAAGAAGGACGTGAAAAAGCAGTGGCAGCGGCAGTATTCGTGGTGATCAGATGAAGCATACGATGCGGGTTAGGCGTGTGTTTGTTTTCCTAAAGGGCGAGTGATTGATATGAAATGTGATGCTGTGAGAGGTTGAGAAGGCAGGAACACGCGACGTGCATTTTCCTTTCTCAGCCAGAGAACCCAGGGACGGACCGAGAAAAGGGGGAAGGGAGGGGGAGGGGAGGATATGAGTAGGGGGCGGAGGCGGGGGCGGGGAATTGTGGGATCAAATCACGTGCCGTTAAGTGACGTAAATCTCGGCTGATGCGCCTGTATAGATACTCGTATAGGTACCTAGGTAAACTCTGCCCAAAGATCCGATAGTCGGGAGTGGCAGCGGTGGTGGGTCGGGGTGAGAAAGGGGGGCGGAGGCCTGGGAAGGGGGCTTCGCTTAGGTAACCGTACCCTAAGCGATAGACATGCCATGGCATATGGCATGGCAAGGGCATGTACCGACTAAATAGCAGAAGACAACGGCAGGGCGTGGAAAGAGACAGTGCAAGGTGTTGCGGCTCTCGTCCGCTTATTGCACAGGTACCTGGGTACTACTACTTCTATTACTATTACTACTACTATTACTAGCGTTGGCGTACTGCAGCTGGCTGGCCCTCCACCATCTTACTACTAAGTAGACCTGCAGACGCATCACATCACATCGCATCGCATCGCCGGGCATCGCTAATCTCATGCAGGACGAGTGCGTCGGAATGTCAGGAGAAGGCTGTCACATCCACCTACTAGTACTGACTAGTACTAGTCAGTACCTACCAGCAACTACCCAGTCCTAGCATCTACATACGGGGGTACCTACGGAGGAGAGCTGGGGCTACAATGGCATGAGGGTGCTAATGCAATGATAATCACTTCATTCATCTTTTCTCCCCTCGCGACTCACTCACTCCCTTTTCTAATCCCTTGGGCGTGCGCGTGGATGACGTTGAGGTTGTGGTTGGGCATGAATCATGTCTTAGTATCGAGATCTGAAATGAAGGCTACCATGGCTACATACCGCTACTCAGTACCTAGACCTCAGCAACGTCCACTCACATTCAAGGCTCAATCCGTATCACCATCACCTTGGATGGCCACTTGCACTTGCTGCTTTTTGTACACAAACCACCGGCTACCAACAGATAAGCAAATATTTTCTTACGCTCTCGTCTACTGTGCAGTGCCAGTGCAGCAAAAGTAGCATCACCATGCCAAAGTTGGCTGGAAAAGTCCGGAGTCCTTTGATGGCGAACACGCCTTTACTATTGTCTCCACAGCACCACTTTTTACAGGAAAAAAAAATTCGTCGTCGAGAATGTGCTGAGTAGGAGCGTCTTCGCTTTTCACTATCTCCGACCTCTTCTCAATTTCCTATTCGGGCCAACACATCAGCCCGCATTGTCCATTTATCCGCTGCAGGGACAGCCCCACACCGAGCAGTACAATGGAAAAGTATCTCTCGCAGTACCAGTACCAGTGCCAACCTCCAAAGGACGATCCGGAAGGCTCTTGTTTGTGGGGAAATGGAAATTTAGGTTATCTTTGAATTTTCCGTCTGGTCCGTCATTTCAAGTGTTGAACTCTAACTCGGGATTGTTTATCTTGAAAGACGGTGCCACTCCTGTTGTCCCCTCAGGACGTGGACATGGAAGTGATCGTCACACAAGAAAAGATGCTCTCCAAATGGCTGATAGTCGTTTTCACTGTCCTTCAAACAGTCCACGCAGCTCCCTCCCCTAATGTACTCGGTTCAGATCTTTCGATTTTGGTCAACAATGATTTGGCTGGTGATTAAACCCCCATCCTTGAAGAGATTCTTCTGCAATCAAGCTAACCGCCAACTGACTTCAGGACCGGAAGGTTCCTCTGCAAACTCAGCAGTGATACTAGTCACTGCGAGATCCCAGGAGTCAGCAGCGTCGCTTTGTGCAGAACTGGGGGAGAGTCTGTGGGCACCAGAGTCAAATGTGTCCAGTATTCAAGCCACTCTTGATTACTTGACCTTCCATGGCAAATACCCCTCAGACCAACTGTATTGGGTTGCTTCCTCGGACACAGCAGCGCGAGCAATCGACAGGCAAGGTTACATATCAGATACGACAACCTTCAGTCCAGAGTCGCTTCTCCCAGCTCTCTGTACCCAATCTGCACCTTTTGCAAATCTCACAAGCCAAGATACATCTGCCAAGTGGCAGGTGACGGTTCATTCGAACAATGAATACATTACAGGGTATGTAGCTGTTCTGTTCCTTGCAGGTCTCGCTCTCCGCAGCCCGTTGACATGAAAATTAGCTTTCGCGATTGGCTAAGTTTCCGCTTTCTGGGCGTGCGATTCGCCCCGCAGCCCCAACGATTCACGCACTCACCGCCATACAAGGGAACCGAGCAGAATGTATCCGCGACTTCATACGGATCACAGTGTATACAACCGTCTGGAGGGTCGGAGGATTGTTTATTCTTGAATATCTGGAGTCCTTTCTTACCTGCCTCTAGCGATGCTCCTTCCGTTGATCTGAAGCCTGTCATGCTATGGGTGCATGGAGGGGCTTTTCAGAGCGGCACAGCCAACGATCCAACCTTTGATGGTGGAAATCTTGCATCTAGAGGAGATGTGGTGATGGTCGCATGCAATTATCGCTTGGGCTCATTTGGTTTTCTCGCTCTGGATGATGGAATCACCAATGGCAATTATGGTTTAGGTGATGCCATTAATGCCCTTGACTGGGTCAGAGCAAATATCCAAAATTTTGGTGGTGATTCAGAACGCATCACCATCTTTGGGCAATCAGCAGGTGCGGCAGCCGTTCGTGCAATGTTGACTTCTCCCGAGGCCAATGGGAAGTTCAAAGCTGCCATACCTATGAGTAACCTTGGAGCTGGAGGATATGGTACAACGTATTCCTCATGGATCACAATTGACCAAGAGGTAGCTACCACCGCAAAGCCCATCTTGGAGACGACTAACTGCACCACGGCTTATTCTCAAGTTGAATGTCTTCGCGCCATTCCAGCTGCGACATTATCCAGTCTAGGCAATTCAGCGAGATATCTTGTCGTAGACGGAACCTATCTTACTACTGATAAGTTGCCGCTCGACTCATCAGCCCAAGGGTCTCTCTCGGACGTCCATCTTCTCCAAGGTTTGATGCGTGACGACGGAGGTGCAATCACAACCTACATCCAAACCACAAACATTTCCACAGCCATGATAGCAACCGACTTCAACACATCAGTAGTCGTTAACTCAGGATTATTCCCCATCCCCACTAGCTCCAACGACACTCTGAACGTATTTAACGTCACCTCTCGCGTGGCAACTGATACCATATTCCGCTGTTTCGACCAAGCATCCGCCTACGCTGGTCTCCTCAACAATGTTTTTGCACCCACTCAGTACTTTTACGAATTCAACCGTTCTTACCAACCACCAGGATACAATCCTAACGCACCAGTTTGCCAGCCTCCTGTTACAGAATCGCATCCTAATGGTGACCCAAGTCAGGAATATTTCAAATGTCATTCTGGTGAGATTCTGTACGTTTTTGGAACCCTTGCTTACAACGGTTATCCATTGAGAGATGGTGATGATCTTCTTTTCTCCCAGTTTGTCCTTGATTCTTGGGCGAGTTTTGCGAGGACTTATAATCCGAATCCTGAGAGGGAATTTTTGGAAGCGAGGGGGTTTGTGAATACGTTGAGGGAGTTGGATGGTGCAGGTTCTTGGGAACCGTTCAAGAATGAAGGATTGGGGGTTAGACGGTTGGAGTGGCCTAGTCAGCAGGTGGGCCTTACGGACGTGGAACAGTGTAGGGCTTTGGGGTGGCCGCTTGAGCTGTTTGTTTGAGCTTGGAATAATCTCTTTGTAGCTACCAGCTCTTCTGGTTAGATTAATGAACTCAGGTTCCATGACAGGTTCTGATTACGAAATTTATGTCATTATGTTGTATGTGTAACCCTAGCATTACACTTTACTAGAGACGGTTTTGGTTTTGTGACGTGACTTACTTGATTTGGAATTTTCATATTTCCTCTGCAAGAGGGGTGCTAGTGAACGTCAAGGCGCTATTGTTTCCTTGTACTTGTAAATTATGAAGACAATGTGTTAGGCTCTATTACTAAGAGTAAGTTATCTATTACTGCTAACCTTTAGGCTGCTCTAAAATTTTTTCCAAGAGTAACCAGTCTAGTAATCCAACCCACCCAACCTTCTTTATACGATTTTAGCTATATTCAACCCTGTGAGGAGTTTACTGCTATAATCAATAGTTAAATCTAGGTTAGTCCATAATTTAGTGAATTAAAAAGGAACTGGAACTGAACGAAATTGTGACTATACTGTTTTACAACTAGAATACTCAGGTTTTAGAGCAAGTACTTGCAATTGACTTTAAAGACTCGGCCCTCACGACAGAAGCCAATAATACATAGTACCGTAGGATTCAAGTACTGCGTGAAGTTCCCTCTCTTGATTTTATTCTAGTACTAGAAAGCTGATCGCGCATAAGATGGCATTAAACCCTCCTTTTCCCTGCATTGTTAACATATAAAATCTTCAGATGTGGGTTACTCGAGAATTGATCATTTATTATCTAAGAGAAATCTAGGCTTTAAAGTTTTGTATTATCTCATTGGGCATTAACCATTAAGAGCTCATTCCCATCCGGAAAAGGTCACGTACAATACGTTATTATCCATTTTCCACGTGTGGGTGCAATAGCCTGTGATCTGGGGTAGTGATGATTTAGCCGAGAGCCTACCTAAGTTCGCCTTTAATGCTCCCCCGAAGCCTTTCAAGAAGCGATAGCCCTTGCATCACGGCAAAGTGTATAATTATGTCCGCCCACCGTCTCTGGCCTGGTTAAGGATTGAAAAAATCATTCGTAGGAGTGCAGTGCTTCGGTTGCCTCGCTTCTTGCGAGCAGTCAAGCTGGCATATAGTTACATAGATATTGATTTTGATCATATAGATCAAAAAATAGAGGATGAAAATATTTAGACCATCCAACACGAATATTTGAGCAGCTGCAGGAGGGATCTTTGTCCTTACCCTGACAATGACTACCAGGAGTCCAAGTTTACCGAGCGAGTATTGGAGCATGAGCGCTCTTAGTTCCCCAGGCACTACTGTAGTCCCATTCTGGGCACGTCCAGCCAGTCTGGTGGTCCCTAGTGGATATCAGGGATAAATCGCATGCTTTTGGATTAGAATATGGACCATTTGATATCCAGGACTCGTAGCTAGTACCCCGAGTACATCTCCGAATACACTCTTGATTCCACTCATTTTGCGGACCATTCCATATTTTCTCCTCTATTTTCCTACATTTTAGAGCAGTGCTACTTACTCCCTGCTAGATTTTCTCCCTGCTGCTTATCTATACATTATGACAGTATACCTTGACCTGCCCCTGATAGGGCCGGCACAGTCTTCTTTTTGCCCATGCCGTTTTTACATCTTTCTTCTCAACCCTATCATTCCAGTTTTCTAAAATATCACAACCGAGTTCTTTATCTGCATAAGTCTAACGACAATCTAGCAACTCGCACTTTTGTATGGCCTGCTAGCTACTACAGGAAAATAGAGCACTATGCAGGGGCGAGGTATAGAAGATTTATACTAACTAGCTTAATCAGGTTAGAATTAGCGCGATAAAGATTAGCTAGACCGAAATTCGAAACTAGAGATAGAAAGTAGAAATATAGAAAGATAAAGTTATGTTGTGCTGGGTCTACTTTCTCTTTTGCTCCACTTCCTTATTTGATCCACTTATAGTTCTGCTGCCTAAATGCTTCATGTCTGCCTAAACCTTACACTGTTTATATAAACACCTTAGATAGCTACCTTTTACAATGCAATCAATTCTCCATGACCTTCAGTACCCAATGCCCTTTCAACCCAATAAGTTAATTACTATATTACGAGTAATAACTATTAATTAGCCATAAAGAGATTAAAATCTAGTTTAAATAGTTCTATTTAAAAACAATAAATATACAGATCTATATATTACAATAAATATATAGATCTATATATTTAAGGAATATAGATTTAGTTTTATATATATATATTCATTTATTTCTATTTAACGTCAAGCGGATTCTAGCTCGCGTGGGCTAGGTCCTAAAGAGTCCCAAAATAGGGCAAATGACGCTAGGGGGGTGCCCTAGGCTACAGGGGGTGTAAACGGAAAGAGCTAATTTACAATAGACAGTTTAGAGAGAAGCTCCACTTTCGGAACAGCTCTTATCCTTAATTAGTTCTAGAACCAGGGTAACAACAAAGGAGATATTTAATAAAAGGAAAAAAGAAAAGAGAAATAAAAGAAGGCTTGTCTATCTAGAGAGACAGATTTTAGTGTAGAATCCGGTCTTAAAGTAGACATGGCTAAATAGCTCCTCGCAGTGAGATCCAAAGAGCAGTTGAGGGTTCTTCTCAGCCTTTGCTAATAGCTTAGGGGCTTTGTTGTTTGCTAGCTTGCAAAAGAGTAGGTGGAACTGGGTCTTGGCCTTCCTACACTTACAGTTCCCTGAATTGAGTAGCGCGTCGAAGTGAAAGAAGCGAAGATGGTAGGCAGTAAAGTCTCCGTGTCCAGAACGAGCAGCGATTAAGCGAGCGAGGACCTCTCTTGGTAACTGGAGAAACTTGGGCTTCAAGAACCAGGTACAGAGGCCTAGGTCCTTATATAGAGCTGGGAGTGTAGTATTCCAGAGGTTTCTTGCTAGCCTGATCCCTAGCTCCTTTACCTCTCTCTNACAGAGGCCTAGGTCCTTATATAGAGCTGGGAGTGTAGTATTCCAGAGGTTTCTTGCTAGCCTGATCCCTAGCTCCTTTACCTCTCTCTGAAGCGTGGCCCTACAGAGTAGAGGGAGGGGACCAGAGGGGGGTGTCCGCGCCGCTTTCCCTGCAGCTTTATCCGCAATCTCATTGCCTAGGATACCTATGTGGCTAGGGCACCACCTTGTTCGTATTTTCCCAGGGTAAGATTGAGTTAATTCGTTGACCTTGTTAAAGTTTTCTTGCGAGGTGCCACAGGACCGGTAGGTTAACTGTAGTGTAGCTTCAAGGTTGTCGAGGCAGATCCAGTACTTTCTAGCCAAAGACCAGAAAGGGGAGTCTAGGGCTAGTTCTAGGCCATGTAAAGCAGCTCTAGCCTCTGCATCATATATCTCTAACGCCTTGCCAAAGGAAAAGATCTTAGTGTCGAGAATAGCCCCTCCTCTTGTAAGACATACGCCACCACCAGTACTTTTGTCGTCCAGGCGGGAGCCGTCGGTAAACACAACTAGGTCGGTAGGTGGGACAGTAGCTAGGAAGTCAAGGAATTTGGCCTTAAAAGAGCTCTTGTCTCCACCAGGGTCAGGTCCCGCTACCTCCAGTAGGCGGGCTTGTCGGTTGAACCCTCTATTCCACGGAGGGTCTTGAATGGGGTCAATCTCTTCAGAGGGAGGGAGGGCTCTGTGAGAGCGGTAAATGAGCCTAGCTTTCGAGCTAGGGTTATTAACACATCGTTTCAGCGGGTGGGCAGGGTCTAGTCGTCTGATCCTAGCTTCTAGTGCTTCGCTTCTTGTTATAAGAGCAATTTCAGAGGCTAGGAGGCCCGATTCCATAAGGAGTACTGAGGTGGGAGTGGTCTTGTATACTGGGAGGATGATCCTAGCACACTTGGCTACCACTCTATCTAGCAGAGTTAGGTGACGGCCAATTCGGTTGTTTGTAGTCCCTCCTCCCTTAGCCCTGGCTCGTCCAGGGAACCAGGTCTCGCTTCCAAAGTAAGCGACTGATAGAATGCAAGCTGTGGTGGCCTGTTTCAGCAGGTAGGAGGGAGAACCTCTTGTTGTGTTTGTGGTCCCTTTTAGAGCAGTCGCTGCTAGCGTAGCCTTACTAGCCATTCTCTTAACATGGCTATG